CAGATACTCAAATCAAGTCAACTGCATAGTTTCTCTACTATCATATCAGCACAGCTGCAAGTATCCACTTTTTGCAGTAACAACCCGCATGCCCAGGATCGAACCGGACTTGCCGCCTCTTCCTGAAGGTTTGACATTGCTGCTCGGGCTCTCTATTGCACTGAGTCCTCCTCTGGTATTGTGCCTCGAGTGCTTCGCCTCTTTCCACACGTTTCGCAGTACCAATTCTCGCGCATAACATCCCAGACTCACTGCACAAGCCTTCAAAATATGCGCATTTTACGAGTTTTTCTACTGTTTTGCGCTCTACACGACGCGGCAGCGGTACCTATGCAGGTGGTGGAGGATTTCGAGTTGCGTTTACACCACGCACAGACGCGTACACGCCGGCGTGCGCTGCTGGGGCCTACAAGAGACTCCGAAGCGACGAGGGCAGAAGCTCTGGCTGACACTGAGCGAGTGGTGGACGAGGGCAATGCAGAGCACGCAGCAGGCAAGAAGAGCTACTTCATGGGCTACAACGGGCTCAGCGACTTGACGGACGAGCAGTATCGCGCATTTCTGACCTCCAGACCGGACAGAGATTCGCCCAGGAGGAAGCAGAGGAAGAAACAACCGACAATGAATAGACGCAAGAGAGGGAAGCAGGTTACGATCAGCTTTGACTTAGACGACGGGTCGAGCGAAAGTGACGATGATGAAGAAGATATTGAGGTGCCGACGGAGCTGGACTGGACCACCAAGGAAGGTGGAAAGTATATGACACCAATAAAAAACCAGGGAACGTGCGGAAGTTGTTGGGCCTTTGCAGGCGTAGCCGCAGTGGAGTCGAGATATGCCATTGAGAACGACGTGCAGGCATCACCGTTAAGTGTGGAACAGGTGCTGAGCTGCTCGGCGGATTTGGACCATATCCGGAGTAAATTTGAGGATAACATGACCAGCTCGTCTGAGGGGTGTGCCGGTGGAATGCCATTCCTCACATACGCGTATCTGCAGCTCGCACAGCCTCACGGTATCTCGTGTGGGAGTGCGTATCCATACGTGATGGCAACGAACGAGACTCACCCTCAATGCTCTTCGTCGCTTACTGCTGATGTGGCTGTGACATGGAAGTCGAGTGTGTCGGACTACAAGGTGGTGGCTGCGAGTGAGAAGGCTCTGCTTAGAGCTGTGACCAGTGGACCTGTTACTGCCAACATTGACGCTACCGGAGACGGCTTTCGTCATTATGCTGGCGGGATTTACGATGCTAAAGACTGTCTTAGTGACGGAGACGAGGTAAACCACGCTGTGGTAGTCGTGGGCTTCGGTGAGACGGATGCTGGCGAGAAATTCTGGATCATCCGAAATACTTGGGGTACTATGTGGGGCGAGGACGGCTACATGCGCATAGCTCGTGGCAGCGGCGTGGGTAACTACGGTCCGTGTAACCTGTACGTATATGCTGACTACCCCGTGAACCTCACCGCCGGCTCCAATGTCACCAGCGGTGAACCTTCATGTCCTGTACCCGTGTTGAAGTTCGAGTCGCTTTCGCTTATGAAGCTGATAGGACTATCAGGCAACCAAATCGCGATGCTGGTGCTTTGCATTGTTCTTACTGTAATAGCAGGGGTGGCGCTGTATCATGGTACAGAGTTTATCCAGAATCGCAAGGAGGCAGCAGGACAACTACGTTACCAAGACAGCTACGGGCGATGGATATTACCTTCCCGTGACCAGATTGCTGCTGCACTTGCTCAACGCAATAGCCAGCGTCCTACAACTGGACAATAGAGAGACAACAAATAAGTTTCCTTGCTTACATTAAAATATAATCGATTGCCAACACAAGATGCTCTCAGCAGGAGCCTCCCCTATAGTGACACGTCCGGGTTTGAGTCCTCCATAGGCCGAGAACCATAAGGCGAACGCTGGAACGGATCCTCACCCACACTGTCGTTTGCCATCAGTGTCAAGTCCGACAGACTATCCGCCAAGTCTCCATTCGACGGGATATAGTCCTCCTGAATCACTGGACCAATAGAAGGTGCTGGTGGTTCCCGTTCTTGGAAAGTGCCATTGCTTGCGGCTTCTGAAATGGGACTCATGGATGATAGTGGAGACCCGCTATTCTCCACATGAATTCTCGTGAGCTGCGGAATCACTTTTTGCCACTCATCTTCGACCTTTTTGCTGTACTCGATCTGCATCTGAATGTAGTCCAAGATGATGTGTTTAAAGTCTGCCAGCTTCTCACGCTTAAATCTCTCCACTTCACGCAGCACACGTTCCGTAACAATGTCGTCTTCCAGCTTCGCATCTTCCATTTGTTGCTGCGCCGTACGCACTTCGCCCTCTGCAAGCTGAACCTTCTCTTCCGAGGACCCACCTCGAGCATGTTTCAACAGTTTAGCCAGCGCAACTTCCTTGGCTTCCAGATTCGCCACTGCAGCGCCATACGCACATCTCACTTCGTTGCGTTTCTGCAGCGCAGCCTTCACAGCCCCAACCAGACGAATGTAGTCAAATATTGGCTCTTCAAAGTGCAGTGCCTCACGTTCAGCATGTTCGGCAGCCAAGATCGACAGCTTGTCAGAGCAGTGTCCAATATGATTCAATCCTTCCTGCAGCGACGGATTCTCCTCTGATTTACCCAATAACGTGAATGACACTCCAAACTCAAAGAGTCCGTCAGCGATCTCCCTTGCACGCTTCGTCAGTCCATGGGCATGCTTGTGCAGCCCCGTCATGATTGGCTCCAGGCCTTCAATGTAAGCCATCATGTCCTCCACTTCAATGTCCGCTGGGGTCTTGGGCAAGTTCGTTGCAGGTGCGATCAATGTGGACGAGATGGTGTTCACTGTGTCGTCCAGCCATTGGAACAACACCCCACGTTGAGCATTGGGCGCTGCATGACGCGGATCCTTACGGAAAGCCTGTAGCTGATCCTCGCTGGCTTCCAAGAAGGTGGTGAGGTGTTCACTGTGCTGTAGTTCAGGGTGCAAACAGCAGCGGTGTAGGAACAACTGCAGCGCTCTGCGTCTGCTCTCAATGAACTCGGGCGAGAAGCGTCCCACTAGGAGCTTCTCGGGCAGTGGAGGCACTACAACGCCAGGGTACATGGCACTCAAGTGGCCGTGAATCCATACGAAATCACTGTAGCGACGCACGACGGAGAAAGAGCTCTTAGAAAACTGCGGACGCGTCGTTGTAGTGCTGATCTTGTATGAGATATAGGCGTTCATACCCTCTCCCTGCTTCACAGGTTCACTAACGGTCACCTGGATGTTGGACAGAGGCTCACCTCGCGCCGAGGAGGTCGAGGACGAGTTCATAGACGACATGGAACGGTCGTATTGACCGTCAGAAGCTGGGAGAAATGGCGTCAGGTCATCTAGTCCGCTGTTATTCGCAGGAGGTGCCGCAGCCCCACCCGCTGGCAGCGCCGCCGACTCCTCCATGATCCGATTCGTGTAGTCCACGTTCACCCACTTGCCGTTGCGCCCTTCCATCGCCGCAGACACAGAGACGATCACTAACCTTTTAGCCTCTGTTTCTTCGTCTGTCCGATTGGATTCTTCCTGAGAACGTAACCCTAGGGGTTACACTCTTTTTTTTATCAGAAGAAATTTATTAACATTCTGATTCGATGGAAAATACTTATTTTAAATAAGTTATTTATAAGGTGTCAGCTACTGTATATACAAACTGCGTTACGACATTCCAAGAGGCGCAAGGGAACAAGAAACTCCTCGTGCTTCTGGCATGGCTGCGAGAGGTCCCCCGTCCGCTGCGGCGGTGCTGCCGTCTCCTGTTGCGATGAATTCATCGCTCGGTCCCCAGGGTCGCGGCAGCAACTGTGAGGTCGAGTCTCTGGGCTCGTCCTCCTGTTCCTCAGCCTCCTCTGCAGCATCTCAATCGGTCAATGGCAAGTACTACAACCCGGTGGTGATGGATATTATCCGCGAAGACTGGATCCAGCAGCAACTACAACAGCGCCAAGCCTCGTATACAGAATTCCGCCCTACACGCGTCGTCACAGGCACATGGAACGTCAACGCTAAGAAGCCTCTTGGTCCCGCTGAAGCGACTAAAATTGTCGATTGGCTGCACCCTACAACGACAGAGAGTCGACGAGAACCGCCAGATATTGTAGCCTTAGGATTCCAGGAGATTGTAGATCTCAATGCTGTTAATGTGGTGGTCAATAGCGCACTAACGGTGCAGCGCAGCTCGGCGTGGGAGGAAGCCATGCTTACAGCTTTGAATCGCTATGTTGGAGCCTCTACAGCAGCTTCCGAGACTGCAGTACAATACAGAGTGGTGTTGGAGAAGCATCTGGTGGGAATTCTACTGCTAGTGTTCGTTAGAACTGACCATTGGGACCACGTGAAGGAGATCAAAGGAGCTACCGCTGGTGTGGGGATTATGGGTGTCATGGGCAACAAAGGAGGAGCTGCTGTGAGGCTTAAATTCTATAGCAGCACGCTCTGCTTTGTGTGCGCTCACTTGGCTGCTCATCGAGAAAATGTGGCTGGGAGGAATGCTGACTATCTCAATATTCTGAGTAAAATTCAGTTCGAGGAGAATGCTGAGGACGGAACTGTTGCGCCAGTACAAGATCCGAGGTGCGTTGTATGGTTTTGGTGCCGTTATAGTATGCGCTAACGAGGTTTACTGTCTTTCAGTGGCAGGTTTTGGAGCGGCGAACCTTCGATTCTTAACCACGACTTCGTGTTCTGGATCGGTGACTTAAACTATCGTATCCAGGATACCTTGACGACTGAGGAGGTTTTCCGTCTTGCAGAGAGCGGGCAATCGCTGAATGAGCTGCAGCAACATGATCAACTAACGAACGAGAGACGATCAGGGAGGGTCATGAGAGGTTTCGAGGAAGGCCCGCTTACATTTCCTCCGACGTACAAGTTCCAAGCTGGTACGTCAGAGTATGAAAAACGCCCCGAAAAGAAACTGCGCGCACCAGCTTGGTGCGATCGTGTGCTATGGAGAGCGAAGAACCCGACGGACGTGAAGCTACGCAGCTATTCCTCAGTTCCTGCTTTGGATCTGTCCGATCACAAGCCAGTTAACGCGCTGTTCGACATCCAAGTGAAGGACCAAGTCGAGTCCAAGAAAAACGACGTCATTCGTGAAATCATGATGCAGTTGGACAAGTGGGAGAACGAGAATATGCCCAAGGTTCGGTTACTCCAGGAAGACGGCAGCACTACAAGCAGCGGCGTGTTTTCGTTCTCACAGCTCAAGTACGGCGTGGAGCAGAAGAAAAAGGTGATTATCGAGAACACTGGTCTCGTTGTGGCACACTTTCGGTTCATTCCAAAGCTGGAAGATGTCGCGATATGCAAGTCTTGGCTTAGTGTTGCACCCATGTTTGGCATGATCCCACCTCGTGAAAAGATGGAGATCTCCATCACCGCTCTCGTTGACGTGAATGTCGCGCATGGTCTCACAAGCGGAGAGGAGACGCTGGACGATACAATGATCTTACGAGTTGAGAACGGACGCGACTACTTTTTAGTGGTTTCTGGACAATACGCTAACTCGTGTTTCGGTAGCTCTCTGGAGCAATTGGTGGCTTGCTCGGAGCCTATCCGACAAGCGAAGTTCACAGCAGCTCGCTCTCCTGCAGCCTCGGTCTTTAGCGTTTGGGTTGGTGGCGCAACGGGTGTTGACGCTAAATCCCTGATGTCGCCACAGTCATCAACTGGACCGCCGAGTTCGACTACACCGAGCGATTCACAGAAGGTGCCGAAGGAACTTTGGCGAATGGTGAACGACATCTACGAGAACTACATGCACGAGAAGAATTTGTTTGTTGAAGCGGGTAGTAAAATGGAGATTGTACAGCTACGAGAAGCTCTGGACACAGGCGCTCCGTTTCCTCAACACAGTGGCTACTCCACGGCTGAGTTGCTGGTTCGTTGGCTTCAAGCTTTACGGCAAAGTGTGGTGCTGGACGAAGCGCTGGCAGCCGCCGTAGCAAGTACGAACGGCAACATGGCACAAGGATGTCGAGCGTTGCTGGATGGGTTACCTCCAGTGCGATACAACGTGGTGGTGTACTTGGTGTCTTTCTTACGAGAAGTGATCAAACACAGAGCCACAAACAAACTGTCACCTGAGAAGCTGGCGTTCGTCTTCGGTCGGTGCCTCGTGTCGCCGTGTAGACGGAACTTTGGCAAAGACTCGAGTGTAGGGCGTGTCTTGGCTCTTGATGAGCACCAGCAGCCCAACTCCCACTCATCTACAGCCTCGACAGTGTCAAGCGTAGGCTCCAACCAGTCTAATATACTCGTTCCTTCAAAGAACGGTCCCCCCGAAGAGCGACTACGTCGAGATGCCCACGAGTTCGAGGTCGCACAAGCAAACGCCGTTCAGCGAGCGGAAAAGATGGAGAAGTTCCTTCTTCACTTCCTGTCCGTGCCAATGCCGTGACGGAGAGACGTACGCAGGACTGACCCGTTCATCCTGCAGATTACAGACAGCTAGGGCAGTCCGACAGAGCTCGAGTTGTATCAATAGCCTTGCCTATGCTGCATCAAAGCTTAGCTGATATATCGAACTCACTGTTTCATTAACGCATAGGGCGATTTGTTGTCAGTCCTGGCCTGTCCACTTCGATCGTGACTTACCATGTTTACCTTTCTTCTTATAGGACGCTGATGGTGAACAGAGTGATGGCTCCGCCGTCAAAGAGAGGCAGCACCTGGTTGCGCAGGAAGATGACACCCCACGTGAACGTAGTGAACCACAGGTGCGTGAACTGGTTGATCTGGTACTTTCTGATCACGATCGGGTGTGGCACAGGCAACAGACCAACCATCGTGGTCGTACGCAGGAAATACAGCATCGCATCTTCATCCAGACTGCCTCCAGCCTTTTTACAGGCTTCCTCTAGCTGAGGAATGAGGTACTGGAGCAGACGAAGACTCGTCGTCAAGGGAAGTTTCTTCTTCCAGGCAGTCAGCCACTCAACTGTAGGGACAAACTCCTGCGATTCCTCCTGCTCCTCTGCTGCCTCACCTTCCTTCTTCACGGGCTTCTTGCTCTCCGTTGATGCGCGAATAGGTGGAAGTTGCAGGTCATTGAGCTGGTAGAAGACGTTCTTGTTCTGGATCATAGCGTACACGACTTGCTGGTTGCCCTCATACTGGTACTGAATGATGTTGTCGAATGCCTCAAGCAGGAAGAAGACGAGGTGGTGGTTCGCTTCGTTGTCGAAAAGGTATCTCGGCTGTGCGAACAGCTTGAACAATCGCAGTAGACGCACCGCCGACACCATGTTGAGCTTTTTGCAGTACGGTGAGATGTTGCAGATGATGGTCAGGAAGCAGTTGTACACCGAGTTGAGCTTCTCGTAGCCACTGACAATGATCTTGTGCAGGCACACTATCAGCAGATCAGCGTGGTTTCCAGAGAACGGAGGCAGGTCCAGTGGGAGGTGGTTGTTGAACGGTTTGTTGAGGTTCACACCGAAGTCACGTTCACCGCTCAATAACAGCAAAATGAAGGTGCAAATGTGGATCATCCCCACCTTGGCGGGTTCCTGTCTGCCCTCGTACATCAAGAACAACAGCGGCACCACCAACTGGTTCACGTCTGCTTTCTTGAGTACATACTGCAAGAACTCCGAGTTCTCATCCAGCATTTTCCACAGCAACACAAGAAGCTCCTGGTGGCACTTAATCTGCTTGATCGAGTTCGGCAGAAGCGTACTCATGGACTGGTGGTAGTTGTTCAATAGACGCGAGAGTCCTGAGAAGATCAACTGGAAATCTTCCGGTCTTTGCAGTGCGGACAGCAAGTTACGGTACACGTTCGGCACACCGTCAAATACCGGATTGGACGAACGTGACGTGACCGACGACGACCTGCGCTTCGCTGCAGGAGTGGAGCCTCCCTGTTGCGGCTTGGAGGTGGCTACGACATTAGTTTGAGTCGTCTGGCCAAAGTCCAGCAGCACCAGAAGAACTTGCAGTGACAAGTCCACCAACAGCTCGCGATCGTCCGACACAATCGAGCCAGCGTAGGGCACCCCCCACCCCACGGGATCATAGGACACCACGATGTTCAGTAGCGAGTAGAACAGCGTCGGTGCAAAGGGGCAGTCGGGAGCTGTAGCCACCTCCAGGAATCTATCCTTCCACTGACTGCAGGTCTCTGCTGTCTGATACAAAATGCCTGAAAAGCACGTCAACAGCAACGCCAGTACCTCCTTCCTGTTCCTGTCGTAATTGGAAGAGTTAACCACACTTGCGTCCGGATAACCCACACCTGAGTGCCACAACAGACTGGGAAACACCAACGATCCACTAGTCGTGCTTTGGCCACTGCGTGTGGCACTGCGTCGCTCCTCTCCGTATCCTTTGTACGCGTGGATAGAGACTGTGAACTCTGGCAGGAACAAAAGCCCCATAATAGCGTGGATCATCTGCTTGGCCAGTGGTTCCGCTCCGGTTGTTTCGTCCTTAGTCTCATCCTCTTCGTCGCCGGATTTCACGCCTTCCTCCCCTTCCACGCTCCAGAAAAGCTTCTCGACGAACTCGTCGCCGCCCTCCTCGAGTATAAAGGGCACTAAACGCGTCAATACACGCACGCAGTTGAGTGCTTGCTGGTAATACTTTGGTACAGGCGTGTCCACGATCTGTACGATCTGAGAGACCGCCTGCTTGAGCATCGTCGCCAGATTCTCGGGCTGCTGGTGACGCAGCATGCGCACGTCGTCCGGCTGGATGAGCGTGAAGATCTCCTCGGCCACCGTGGGGATGCGCCACAGCTTGTCCCAGAACTCGAGGTTCTTGCTGCTGATCACCTCATTGTTGAGCTTGTACACGCTCTCGCGGAACTTGCTCTTGCTGTCGCTGTTACCCATGCTCGACGAGACCCTTTATTGCTGAACTGACTGTAAACGACGTGTCAGCATCACATTGATGCAGTACCGTGAAACTCCTCGTAAAATACGTTTCTTCTTAGTATTCGATAACATAGGGTTTGTCTGATTCTGGGTTGAACCTATGGGATATGTTAGGCTTATTCTATTCTGCACTGTTTCTCCAAGCAACCCGTTACGCCATTCTCAAAGGAGTTGCTCCCCCTTGTTCGCGGGTTCCTAGTGTGCGTCTTCCTGCTTCATCCAGCGCTCCGTCCGACGTGCAACTTAGTGCACTGCATTCACCACCGTCTGCTCTTCTTAGCGCAGTCTGTTGCAACTTTAAACACCGCCTGGTTGCTGAGTAAGAGACGATGGTACTGATTCACGAGTTTCGCGTTCCGCTGCACATGAGTGTGGAGGAATTCCAAGTGGCTCAGCTGTACATGGTGGTGAACGCCAGCGAGCAGCTCACGGGTGATGGTGAGGGCGTGGAAATCCTGGTGAACGAGCCCTATGATAACACGGACGGCCACATGGGCGTGTCGAGCATCTCGGGCTGGACCATCCCACGCAACAAGGGCCAGTACACGCGCAAGCATTACTACTGCAAGTCCAAAATCCCTGGCTTCGTTTCCGCTTTGTAAGCACGGCTATACAATTAATGGTGGCGAGAATGTTGCTGACTTTTGTGAATTTTGATGTGTAGTTGCCCGGAGGACAGCATGGTGCTGATCGAGGAGGCGTGGAACGCGTACCCGCACTGCGTGACCGTCATCGTCAACGGTTACTTGGCCAAGCACAAGTTCTACATCTCGATCGAGTCCGTGCACAAGGCGGACCGGGGCGACTCGGAGAACGCAATCGGTATGAGCAGCAGCGAGCTCAAGCAGCGCAAAGTCGAAGTGTACGTTGGTGGCAGTTGAGAGTATATAAGGTGACTGATTAATTGGAGCAATTTTGCAGTTTGGACATTGCGGAGAAGATGCCCAAGCAGGAGCTCAAGGAAGACCGTGATCCGGCCACGGTACGTAGTTTCAGGTTTTCTGTTGTGCGAGAAGTCACTAAAGATTGGTGTGTTTTATTGGTTCCAGTACAAGTCCGTTAAGACTTCGCGTGGACCGCTGACTCGCGGCTGGATGAAGACCGTGGACCCCATCATGACTTGCTACAAGGTTGTACGCATCAACTTCGATTACTGGGGCGTACAAGGCAAGGTAGGTCACGAACAGCCTTTGATACTGTTTTTCTTTTTTTTTTTTTTACGTTTTTTCCTAACATTTTACTGCGGTACCTTGTTGCAACCTAAAGGCGGAGAAGATTATTCGCGACCAGCAACGGCAGCTGTTCCACAACACTCTCCGTCAGGCGCAATGCCAGACGGATGAATGGTACGGTCTTACGATGGAGGACATCCGGCGTCTAGAGGCTGAGGTGGTGGCGAAGCTTGAGGCCAAGCGTCTGACCAACTCGGCCAACTAATAGAGGATGAGAGATGGAAACGACAAAACATCGACGATATAGTCTAGCGACAGCTATCAGGCATAGCAGTTTTGCTGTTTGGGATAGGCTAGGCTTCCTGCTCTCGTCATACATGTGGGCTTAGCATTGATTTTGATGTATTTTACAATTCCGCACTTACAGCAATCAGCAGCACGGCATGTTCTTTATTGATTCAGGTGCCATCGTGTTGGTGCTCAATCCCGCGCGATGTAGCCGCTCCACCTTCTTACTCAATGCGTGTCGAGATACCGACTAGAACCAAGTCTAAGACTGTCTATAACAGGGCAACAGCTTCAACTTGCGGCTTGAATGAATCCAGGCAAACTTTAAACGTGAAGCCGGCCCCTGGGAGTAACACTTCAAGCATTGTCGAGTTAGTTGTGATGTTAGGTTGCTTAGTAAAAATCATTAGAATCAAGAGCGGGCACTCACAGTGAGTCACCGAGATGTGCCAATGGCACTTGCATGACATAGACGAAGAGTGTAGTCAACTTGGACTGCACCATCGCAGCTTGTGTCTCGAGTACAAAAGCCAATTGGTGCAGTGTAGAAAATTGCAGAATACGTTTAAGAACGACGAGCGCCATGATAAGCGAGACGAACTCGAACGAGCTGTACAGAAGCACGTTCTTGACGGAGGCCAAGAGTTCGGCATGCGATAAATCGGCGAGTGCTGGATAAAAAGCTCTGTTGGGCATGTTGTACAAAATAACTTCGTGCACACCTGACAGAATGTGTTAGTTTTACTAACAAAAACGCTGAATTTCAATGTACGTACTGTAGACTATTGGCAGCACGACTTCGGCGTACTCGATCAGTACAAGGTATTCTGTGATGAAGAGTACCCGAGCACTTTTGCGAATGAATAGCGCACGTTGCTTAGACGAGAAAATAGTTTCAAGTTTTAGCTCTTCCCTCGGATGTCTCGTAACTTTGTGGCCTTCTACAGCGAACGTTGGTCGGACTCTGGGTTGCCACCACTTTCGACGGTGGAAAAAGCGAATTGGGAAGATTCGCGCTATATTCGAAGATAACTTGCGGCCGGATCCCATGATCATTCGTGTTGCGGTAGAACTTGCATCTCTAGAAGAGGATGCTTTGCTTTCATTGCTAGAACTCACCCATTTCTCCATTCGCAATCCCCAAGACGCATTCTTAGTGCTATCTGTCCTTGACGCCTTCAATGTGACCTCAATATCCAGGATTCTCATCGCTATCTGCACAAAACTCTCCTGTGCGATCGGGTGGCTACGAGGAATTTTAGCCATAAGGATCTTCACCTCGTTCAGAGCCTCTATAACGTCAAACATGGACATCCAGAAGTGTAAGAAATCGATGGTCATAATTGCGGCTGTCGTCTTCCACGA